GACCTGGAATCGCACAGACGTCTTTCCTGAGATCCCACGGATCGACTCTCCATCGCCAGCCTACCGTTCGCTGGACTTTTCGCATTTTGGATCGCTCGGCATGATGGTCAACAAGTTGGCTGATGTCCCTTATCTCACTTTCTTGTCTGTAACGGCCGTGAAGTTGCCACCGCTGGAAGAGCGACCGACGTTCAAACATTTGAGACAATTGGTCGTGAAGGAAGAGAGTCCGGGCAGCTCAGCGACCTTCCTTGCGTCCGCTGCTTTCCCCAAACTCAGATCACTCCGCTTGCACATGCCCGACGCGCGTATCCCCGACGCGCTGTGGCAAGCCACCGCCATCGCACTTCCGCACCTACGTAAACTGTACGTGCGGAGAGCCCGCTCCCGACACTCTCCCCAGCCCATGGACTGCTCCGTCGCCGACGCCCTCCGCCCCCTGCTCGCCCTCGTGGATCTGCGCAGGGTCGAGATCGACTTCGGCGCGTGGGCCCTGGACGCGTCGGACGACGACGTCCGCGAGATCACACGGAGCTGGCCGAAGCCAGGTGCTCAAGCTGTCGCACCACGCGTCGTCCGTGCGGCTCTCGCTGCATGCGCTCGCGTGCGTCGAACGCAATTGCCCCGACCTCACCGCGCCAGCCCTCTCCGGCATATTCATACATAATATACTGGTACGTGGCGTGCACACGCAATACATAGATCGCGCTAAGTGATCGCTGCGGTAATTATACGTCCGCGTTGTATGAGCCCAATGTATTCCATAATACAATGCGCGTCGAACCAGAATGTATCACCAAAATACATTACATCCCGCCGCGCCCGCGCCCACCGATGCCACCCGGACATGCGTCACTGCCAGGTCGACGCCCTCGTTGGGATCCCGCCCCGCACTGCTCGCCCACGTGGTCCGTCAATGCGAGCCTATTCTGGACAGGCCGCCAGTGCCAGTGCCCACGCTGGGCTACACCGCCTTGATACATCCTGCCGCGCCCGCGCCCACCTGCCACCCGGACATGCGTCGCTGCCAGGTCGACGCCCTCGTTGGGATCCCACCCCGCACTGCTTGCCCACGTGGCCCGTCAATACGAGCCTATTCTGGACAGGCCGCCAGTGCCCACGCTGGGCTCCCGCCCCGCCGCTCTCGCTCGCCGCCTACGTGAGCGTCCTGCCCCATGGTCGTCCTGCCTCGCGCTACTCAGGTACGTGGCCCTGCGTATGTATGTGTTCACACTCACGTCCTCGTCCGCCACCGTCGCCGGCCTGCACGCTCGTCAAAATCCCGCCCTGCTCGTGCACGTGGCGCCTTCGTGCCAGACAAAACCCGCTCCGCGCCAGGCCCTCACCCGCTGCCCTTACTAGCTTCACACCCTGCGCTGCCCGTGGACGTGGCTCCTCGACGCGTAAATGATACTCATGCCGCGGCCGCGCCCAGACCCACCTGCCGGTGCTCCCTGTGTGGTCTGGTACCCGCCGCCTGTCGGGGTCATGTCCTCGGCGCATGCCTAGTTTAGGGCATGCGCTTGCCTGCTCCCGCCTGCACACTCCTTAGGATCCCGCCTCGTTCCGCCCCTCGCTACTATTGGTGCGTGCGAATCCTCAACACCGTGCATACTAATGACTCTCCCGCACGCGCGGCGCCCCTCTTGTCGGGATCCCGCCCTCGTGTCACTCAACAATGGGATTGTGTGATGTACGTTACTCCTTCTATCCGGGCCACGTTACTAACCGACCTTCTCGTCTGAGGTTTTGACACGATACGCGAAGCCTTCACACGTTAAGTATATGATGAACACGAAACAGATATGGCAGACTTCAATACTTTGTCATCGCAGGGATCGTCTTGTGCGAGCCTCGAAGCTTGAGCTTCACTGTCGATCATGTTACATCGTATACCATGGTAATAGTCGCAATATATCTCGGGTTCGGTCGTAGGCGTCGTGCGGTGTATTCAGGTGTATTAGCGCAAGCGATGCATCACTGGTATAGACTTGGGTAATATCTCACCGTCACAGTATATTGCGGGTTCGGCCATGGGCGTCGTGCGATGTATCATCGCGAATGATGTATCATTGCCAGCGTGAACTTAGGCACTCTCACCATCGCAGTATATCGCGGGTTCGGTCGTGCGCGTCGTGCAATGTATTACCACGAATGATGTATCACTACCAGCGTAGACTTGGGCAATCTCTCACCGTCGCAGTATATCGCGGGTTCGGTCATGCGCGTCGCGCAATGTATGATCGCGAACGGGGGAGTGACTATTATGACAGGTATAAAGCAGCCCTTGCGCACTTGTCGGCTTCGTTGAATCTCACTGCTGGACCTACCGCGTCTGCTACACCAGCCACGACTTCCACTCCTCTGCACCACCCCTTGCCCCCTGAACCTACGAATCCAAGACTACAGGCTAAAGCAGCCCAGGCATTAGCTGGCTTGAATCCTGATGAGTCGTCGTGAATAGACATGCCATTGGTATGCATGTGGTCAACATGACTGAGATGCTGAAGGCTGAGCTCGCCACCCTACAGGCATTGAACCGAAGTCGACGAAATCCCCTCTTGCTGTCATGAAACCTGACTCTATGACAGAAATTGACTTCATTGCACAGAGAGTAATACACAGGTTCGACGGTATTGACACGGGAGGTCGAGCAGATCGTACAGTAAATTTGCTCGTCAAGATGTGGAACATTACGTATTCTGGAACGTTGAGAGACAGCGCGACGGATAGCTACACATTCGCCAAGATATACCTACGCCTTAGTACGTACCTTCTTCTTACGAGGTGCAGCCGTGCTTGCACCTGTATCGCCCACGGCCTTCCTTTTCTTCGGCCCCGCTGCATTGCCCTTCGTCGGCAGGTTCTCCTTGCTAACTGCCACATTATCCTTCTTGTGCACAGGGACAGGACCATCACCGTCACGGAAACGATCAGGGAGGCGGTGGGCACGTTGAGGACGCGCGCCAGGAGCGCCGGTCCCATCGTCGACGATAGCGGTGTCGACGGACGCAGGCGGCACAACGGGGGCATGGCTTTCACATATTTCTGGGGTTGCTGAGGTAGCCGAATGAGACGAGGCGCCGTTGACGGTAGATAGCGTAGTGTTCTGCAGTACCTGCTTCTCCAAGTCGCCAACAGACGACGCAGGGATGACGGCGGCGGTGACAGAGGCCGGCGGCACAGAGACGGCGGCAGGAGCGGGCGCAGGCGAGACAGCTGAGGCAGAAGGATTGAAGGACGCCGATGGCAGCGACGGTGTGGTGCACGCAGAGATAGGGAAGGAAGCAGGTGGCATGCGCGGGACGTTATTAAACCAGAGCGACTGCTGCTGGGCATGGAGGAGCATCGCGGCGGGGTCCAGCACGTTGCCCGGATGGTATGATGCAGGGATCATGGAAGGATTGTACAGGTTCCCAGCGAACGAGAGTGGGTTGAATCCACCTTGCATCGCTCCAGCCCTGCCTAGATTAGGCATGAGACCCATCCCGGCATAGTCGTACGTCGCGTCAGGCTGGACAGCGTCCGCAAGGGCCGCGGAAAAGGACTGAGGCCCACCGGGCGCAGCAAACGAGGCGGTATCAAAGTCGACGGGCAACGCCTCCATCGGGGGTCCAAAAGACGGTCCCATCTGGTTTGAGAAGTTAGGCGTACTGTGTAACAACGCATAATAATTGCTGTCGAACTGAGGCGGGAGTGGTGCGTCCAACGGGCCAGCAGCCGCATCCGACGGCCAAGAGAACGTCGGGGCGGACATGAAGTCGCCGGTAGCCGAAGGGCCAACCTCAAACGTAGAGGCAGTGTCGATGGGCGAAGGAGGCGTGGGCATAGACATGGGTAACGTTGGCGTCAGTGTCGACACTGGCGCAGCAGGCGAGGTGGTCGCTGTGCTCGTCGCGGATACGTCCACGGCTTCTGCCGTTCCGAGGTCTGTGGCGGGAGCGAATGAGGCTAGGTCTCCACTACGAGCTGGCAGAACGTGAAAGTAGTGAGTGTTAGAGCGTGCACGGTTGACTGACAGTGAACCGTGTTACGTACCAGACGCCTGCTGTCCGTCGCTGCCCTCGTCTTCGACGCGTGAAACCACTTCCCTATCGTCTTCAGTATTGCCCTCATCTTCGGCGTCCTCGTCCTCGTCTTCATCCCCGTCCTCGTCTTCATCCCCAGCCTCCTCTCCATCGTCGTCCTCGCTTTTGTCCTCGCCTTCAACCTCCTCTTCCTCAGCATCCTGCTCCACTTCTCCCTCGTCTTTCTCGGCGTGGTCGTCCTGGTCTTCCTTCAAGCTTGCATAGACCTCCGGAGCTGAGCAAAATGAGTACGGCACGGCCAGAGTGGAATTTGATGACGTACGCATAGCCAGCTTCACCCACTCCAGAAATGCCTTAGCCACAACGTTTACGGCCTCTGGATGTGCCCTGCTGAACGGGACGTTCCCCGCGGCCATTCCGGAGTTGTGCCTGGCAGGAATGCTGTTAGTGCACCTCCTCAGCTCCTCTTGTAGACCATACGTACGTGTAGAGCTCGACCTTGTTGCCTCCATCCGGGTTGATGCCGGCCGCGAGCGTGAAGTAGAACCAGCTGTCGCACGTCTTGCTGCGCAGGCTGTCGAAGAATTGCGTGAAGATGGCTCCCGTGTCGTCTACGACGCTATCGTGGCAGAATCGTGAGTCAGCATTGATTTGTCAGCAGCTTTTGGTCACTTACGCCTGCACGCGATGGACGTCAAATTTGTTGTCCTTGGGATCGGGCGATCCCAATGCGTTCCTGGCAGCCTTCAGTGCTGCCGCCTCCTCCTTGATCTTCTCCTGCACTTCAACGGGTTCCTGCGCGAAGAGCGTCTTCGCGGTCTCGACCGCATACTTCAAGCGTTCGTTCGCCTGGATCTCGCCGGAGTCGATGCGTGGCTGCACGAGGGGTTTGATCTTCTCGTCGTAGTACTTCTGGCTGTAGAGTTCGTGCGGGGCAAGAGAACGCTTCTTCGATGGCTTGAAAATGTTGAGGTCGACCTTTGGTTTGGCCCTGGCTCTGCGCGCCTTCTGTCCCGACCGATTCTGATACCAACTCTTCAGCTGCTGTCAACGCCGGGCCGCATCATAGTCAGCAAAGCCAATCACATGGAATCCCAGTGAGTGGTACGTACCTTCTTCCGATCTGTGATCGCTTTCCCTAACGCCTTGTTTTGCTCCTCAGATAGGGGTTGGTCGATGGACACATCAGGGAACCGTGCCTGCCGTTCGGGGAATTCGGCGAACCAAGCAGTAAAGAGCTTGGGCCAGAAGTAAGTGAGCTTGTGTTCGCGCTGGCGGTCCTGATGCTCGGAGATGAACGAGCTCAACAGAGCCGCCTGACGATCAGTGGCCCACAACCGAGGAGCCATGGGGGACGGATGTATGACGAAGGTGGGTACTCCAGACGGTCATACATTGCGCAGGCTCACGATATATCAGCTGGGCTGGAGAGCGAGTGCTCGCGTCGAGCGCCGAATGCTGATCATTACGGCCGCGCGAGGATCGCCGGCTGACAACTACTGCCCAAGTACGCTGGTTTCCCGATCCAGTCGCGGTTTTTGAATCCACTACACAGTCTTGACAGCTATCAAACGACACGCCACTGCGACATACGCTCAAATGGCAATGAGGACTGACTCCAGTGCGTGTCTCACTTCGCTGCCAGGCGGAAGAGACACACAGAAGGTGAGCCGTCACATGGGCTTGACAGCTTCGGACAGGAATGTAGCTACAGTCCAACCTTTTGGGCCATCGCACACGTCGTTGCAATGCGGGAACGGACAGAAGGAATGCTTGACTGCCAGGAACTCTCGGAGGCAATGCTCACTCAAGTACTCATATGGCAGGGGAACCGACAGGCGGTTGGTTCCCCGAGAAACGTGAGCCTTCTTTCCCCGTCGTGGTATCATGCCGTTGCCGCCTCTGACATGTTTAATTGCAGGCCTTTTCTGCTGTCACTCGTCCCATATGGATGGGCTTCGAGAAGCTCGCGAGAACAGGGAATCAATCCCGGTTTGTCTATATGCAGGCTTACCGGGAAGCACGAGGTGCGTACACGGTGCATACACAGACATAAGTGCCGGTGGAGCGTCCACAATGGGTTGACGCAGGGCAGCACGGCAGGTTGTCATAAGAGCCGCCTTTCACGGCACCGCTCTCGATGTGTCCAAGCATGAAGACCCACCAGAACCCAGAGTGCTCCCCCCCCAACACTTTCTCCCTCGAGCAGCTGGCCGCGGCACTGCGGTTGGTGACGGAGCTGGGAGCCGGTATGCGCTCGATATGTCATTGGTACCCGTGCTAACGATCATAACTTCATCAGTTGATTCCACGACTGTCCCTCCTGTGCCCCCCGCGTCCCCTGCGCCCGCCGCCGTCCCTGCGCCTGCCGCCGTCCCTGCACCTCCCGCCGCCCCTGCGCCTGCCGCTGCTTCTGCGCCTGCCGCCGCTTCTGCGCCCGCCGCCGCCCCTGCGCGCACTGCGGGCCCTGTACCCGCCGTCGCCGCTGCACCTACGCGCACTGCGGTCCCTGTACCCGCCGTCGCCGCCGCGCCTCCTGCCCTCGCGCATCGCAGGGTTCTTGTCGTGGTCCCCGATGATGACGAGGACGACGAGGACTACGAATACGATGTTGATGAACGAGGTGTCGGCACGGAGCCCGGCCCCTGCGGCCAGCCTCTTGCTGCCACTCCGGTTGTTACTCGGTCGGGCTGTAGAGAAGTTGCACCTCGCCTGCCGTTCCCAATGGCAGCGCCCCGTGCGGTGGTAGTGGACCACTTCAACCCCACTCCTTGCCGTTACTATGCGGTCACGCGTGGTCTGGCGGTAGGCGTGTTCAACAACTGGTAGGTGCTTTCGATGACGCTGCAATGCCCCTCTAACATATCTTGGTCAGGCCCGCGGTCGCTCCGCTGGTCATAGGTACGCCGAACTCAGTCTACCAGCGCTATGCGACGTTCGCCCTCGCAATGGCCGCTTTCCAGAGCGCCGCCGCCAGTGGCACCGTCGCTATCATCGCGCCGTAAGCGTCAAGTTCGCGTCGAGCTTTGAAGGAGGGAGGATATAATGGTGCTTGGTCGTCTTTTTGTGCTTTGTAATCATGTTCTTGCGCTTGGTCTCCGATAGCGTGCTCGTTGCCGATCTTGTCTGTACTATGTGTAGTGTATGATGCCTTGTACCGCACCGTGGCTCGCCCCTAAATCGTAGTGTTGTCTAGCAATGAATTAGTAATCCTCCCTGTTATATCAGTTGGCTGCAACGTTAGGTCTACACAGTCTGGCTCCATTGGGAAGCCTAAGTACCATACATTGTACACGGTACTTACATGGCGAGAATCATGCGCTGTCACGCGAAGCACATGTGTGAAGTCAGGCATTCTGCGCTAGCGCTGTCACACTACGGTTACACTTTCCTACCATGGGACGGAGGGCGAAGTATCACACAGCCGACGAAAAGAATGCGGCTAAGCGGGAGCGGCAGAAGAGATATATCCAGTCAGATGGGTGAGCCAATGCTTCCATGGACTCGGAATGCTGAATATTGTGCTCAATATGGCACAAGCGGCCGACTACGCAAGGGAGTTCAGAATCGGCGGGCCTACGCAGTTCGTTCTGGACATATTACGAGTCCATTCGGCACCCTATCCAACATACCTTCCGACCTCCTGCGGCTTGCCCGTAAGCCGTGCCAGCTATCTGTGCAACGAGACCTCGACGTGACAGAGGATCTTGGCCTTTGGACGACACCGTACGTCGTCGAGATTCCAGAGCATTATGACGATGCGGAATGGGGGAAAATGGATGATATATTCCAAGGTGTACCAGACGAACTACAAGACAAGGTCGCCTTCGAGCGATCGCTCCACGGACATCAACTGGCGTGCCTCAAAGAGGCAGGTGTGGCGCGCTTGCAGTGGTGGTCGGACTGCGAGAACAAGGAGGCTCTTGTGGCATACTGGACCGACGAGCTACAAGGGAGGTTGCGTGGATGGGAGGAGATGAGGTCGAAGGGGACACTGAAAGGAGAGATCAGGCAATTGGTGACGGCCGTCGGGCGCGAATGGGCTGCTAAGATCATTTGTACTCTGACGGTAGAGCTCGAGTTGATGGCTACAAACCAGTACGACACCAGGTACAAGGACGGACTCTTGCCATGGCAGTGTATGAATGTAGAGACACAGACATAGGAATTGAACACACCTTACTAGGCGACAATTTGACGACGGAGGCCAGCATCCATAGTGATCGAGTCGAGTGTACATCGTAAGGTCGAGCGCACCCAAGAACGCGACAACTGCTTGGCCTGCCATATTCCACACTGTCATTAAGGTGTCGTCGAGGGTGCATAATACCACCTTCTTCACGTATTTGATAACGTTGGGTGAGGAGCGCAAGATGAGTCGCGCATTGTTCTTGAGCAGATATCCAGTAATGGTTCGACGTACTAGTACTATTGGACTCAGTCCGGCATGCAACCTTGAAGGCTACAGTACTCAGCACGTTATCCCGCCACACAGGGATTGCTGTCTTTGTGAGTCTCAATCTAAAAGGACTGTAATGCATGAGATCAAGCCGCTGCAGACATTGTGTAGCCTCCAAAAACAATCAAATATCGTCTGGACGGCCGACTGTGTTATTCAGTATGGTCGATATATGGCTCGCCATTGGCTCGCCCTTACTCCGGAGACGGCCCGCATCTAATCTACAATCACACAGCCACCGCGACGTCGTCAGGCTTGCCGGGTTCCTTTCGACGATCTTACTGTTTCGCCTCAATCCACCACGCTCTCGACGCATTAGGCCGCCTGCCTTCCTTCCTCATGCGACACATCTCTCCACTCGGATGCGGCCTTCTACCTCAATTAAAGGACTCCATCTTCGCCCAAGCGGCCGGTTCGACGCGTGGCGAATGAGGTTCGCGTTGCGGAGTGTCTCCCCAACGATGTGCGGAAGATATGTGGTTTCCTCTGCGTTTACGATCAAACAGTCTAACACTTGTATCAGAGCTACAGTGCCCTTTCCGTATCTGTGCCGTGGATGTACAACACATCTCTGGACCGTCGGGGTTCCCCCCAATACTCAACTTGGCTGCCGGAAAAGATCACATAGTGGACATCCGCGTGCGTCCATATATTATTCAATCTATCGGACCTCGGGGTTAGCATTGTGGCAGGTCGACATCTGTCAACTCAACGTCCAACGAGTTCGGCTCGAACATCATCGAAGAGTAAGCACGGTCTAGGGGAGACAAAATTGGGGAGTTCCTTGCTAACCTCATCTTGAGTAGCACGGTGGTGCTGTGACTTGATTGATGCCTGCGAAAGGTAATGACCTTTCTGATCAATCGCGTATTTGGAAGTGGATGAGATCCACTCCCTACCTGGGATATTGTGAGCCCATTCATCGTTTCCATCCGTTTCACCCTTTTTTTGACTTTCTACCCAGTTTTCGCCACCAGGCTCTACCACGCATATCGCGAGAGCGCAACCTATCGCCCTTCATCCTTACAGACAGTGAGTATGTCTAAGCAAAGCTGATGTGAATACACTTAACCATTTAACAGACTCATGGGGAAACGTCGGCGCGGGCGAGACGGCCTTGACGTGCTTGTTTTCGATGAAGACAACGGCGCACAGCCAGCTGCAAGACGTCGACCGCCACCTGCCCTCTCACTTCCTCATCCAGATGAAGAGTTACACCGTCGGGTGGATTACTCCTCTTCGGCCGATCATCTGTCAGCAACCACGACATATATCTCAGTCACATCGTCTGCCGAAGGCAATGCCGCGGACGACCGACCTGCTCCTGATGTGTCCGCCCCTCCGGCGCCGGACCTCTATTCTGTGTTCGGTGACATGGACCTCAACGACGCGCCGGATGAGCCATTTGAGACAATGGAGATGGAGTTCTTCCACGACCTTGCAGATTACGTCGACGCACATAAGAAACGCAAACGAACGGCAGGCGTGAGTGTTACCTTAATGTCGTGGTGGTACGACATGTGAAACAATGACATTTACAGGACAATCCCCTTCGAGAATGGACACCTCACACCGACGACTGGCTCGCAGAACTGCTGCGGCTGGAAGGTCGATGCGGATACTCGGAGACCGACTGCGCAGGCTGTGGCTCCGAGCAATCGCCATTCCGCTGCCGGGATTGCTTTGACGTCCGCATGTGGTGCGAAACATGTGTGCTCGAACGACATCAAGACCTTCCCTTCCATCGACTAGAGGTGAGTGAGGGGCCTGGAGCCTCAATGCCCTACTAATGCGTTCCGCAGACATGGCAAGACAGCCTGTACTTCGTGAAGGTCGACCTAAAGAGTCTTGGCCTGCGGATCCAGCTCGGACATCCGTCAGGCGAGAGAT